GGGTGAATGTCTATTAGTGTAAAGCGCTTTGGGGTCCGGAGGGACTTGAAAAGCGCTCTATAAGTTCAGTACCATTTACCATTTACCATATTCCACAGTTTAAGTGGATTTATTTTGTTGCACTGAATCATAAATTAAAAAACAAGAATCTATTTTACATCCATTATTTTGTAGCCCACCTGAGTCCACATYGCACCCACCTCAGCTGGCTTGTAATTTAACATACTGAAGAACACTTGAAATGAAGAGGAGCAGATTTGGACCAGGTTTTTAATAATTATTATTTATTATCAATGTGTCTTTTAGACTTGAAGTACTGTTTCTGATCTTTTTGGTCAAAGCAGAGCTCTTATACTGCTGATAAAATACGGCTCTAATGCTCTTGAGATGGGTTGAGACACGCTTGATGACTTTTGAGAGKRAAGTTTTCTCCTGACAGGCTTTCAAACCAGGTCAWCCTTAGTTTTCCTGCCATGAACTTTAGTCTTTCACCTGTTCAGTGAGTGGTTTTTGTGATATCTCTAACAGTACCTAACAGTATATCCTCAGTATTAACTCTTTGACTGTACCTGCATGGTGCTGATGCACAGACTTCTGTGGATGACAAACTGGCTGAGGGCTGCAGATCGTTTGTAGCTGTTCCGACCGTGGACCATGAGGAGGCGACCCAAATGTTTGAACTGAGTCACAGAGAAGTCTGCAGCCAGAGACGCCTGCTTCCCTTCCTGTCAAAGGTCAAAGGTCAAAGACCGGCAGTCAGGACGTGCTGCAAACATCTTCACTCACCTGAGTCAGTGCTTCTAGAAAAAAATCTCCTCTATTAAAAATAAATATAACATTTCATGTTGTGTACTATATAATTTACATGACAKAATATTATAGAATACTACATGTAATACACATTTTATAGATTTTAACTGTGAAAATATTCCACATTTTATTGTCTAAAGAAATGGTGCTGAAGTTGGTAAAACTTTTAAAAAGTGTTCAGAATGTGTCAAATATCAGTCATTATTTCTGCTGTTTTCTTCTTCATCTTCTACCATTAAATTCCTTCTGGTTCAGCTCTCTTCACCACGACAGACCGGTACAACACCCACATCACTGCAGACGCAGCACCAATCCACCTGTTGATCTCCTGCTCCATTCTTCCCTCATTCATGAACAAGACCCTGAGATACTTCAACTCCTCCACTTGGGGCAGGACCTCCTCCCTGACCCGGAGACGGCACGCTACATTTTGCGGCTCAAGACCATGGTCTTG